TATTACCCTCCCTCCTCTAACCCATCTCCTCTACCCCTCTCTAAGAGCTGCTACTCTCTCCTCCACCCCTTCTCCTCTACCCCTCTCTAAGAGCTGCTCCTCTCTCCTCCACCCCTTCTCCTCTACCCCTCTCTAAGAGCTCCTACTCTCTCCTCTCTCCTCCACCCCTTCTCCTCTACCTCTCTCTAAGAGCTCCTACTCTCTCCTCTCTCCTCCACCCCTTCTCCTCTACCTCTCTCTAATAGCTCCTACTCTCTCCTCCACCCTCCCTCTCACGGAGGTCACTCTCGCTCTCACCTCTATCTCGCGGGTGTGATGTAGCGGACCTTCTCTGCGCACGTGTAGCAGTCGCACGTAATCCTTGCCGTACTCCGTATTCACGAACACCATGTCTGCCTCGGCCATCCTGCTGCTGCTGCTGCTCCTAGCTGCTGCTGCTGCTGTTGCTGCTGTTGCTGTTGTTGTTTGTGGTGCTGCTGCTCCTAGCTGCTGTTACTGCTGCTTCTGCTGCTGCTGCTGTCAGATAGGTTGTATCGACACGTACATTGTATCAATAAATCTATATACATATACGCATGGACTCGTATAGCTTGTATTGACACGTACATTGTATCAATAAATTTATATACATAATATACGCATGGACTCGCATAAGCTGCGTTCACACGTATACACGGCTTAGCTAGTACCGTACTTAGTTGGTGCTAAGTTCGGTTAAAATGCGTTCACACGAGATACACGAGATTCGAGGCTTAGCTAGCTAGCTAGGTATAATATAGACTGGTATCCGGTCGACAGTTCCACGCGCTACACTAACGTCGTGCAGCGAACGGGTAGCAGTCTAGGTTAGAGCGCTACAGTTTCGCAATTCGAATGCGTTAACACGACAAACAATACGCGGCCAGCGTGGTGCCGAATATACGCGGCTTAGTTGGCGCGGAATATGATTCCGCGCTAAGCAAGCCCGAGCAATCGCGGCTAAGCAAGCCGTGGCTAAGCAAGCCGCGTATATTTTAGCGTGTGAACGCAACTAAACTCCTCGTGTGAACGCAGCAATAGCTTGTATTGACACGTACATTGTATCAATAAATTTATATACATATACGCATGGACTCGTATAAGCTGCGTTCACACGAAGATTTCAGTACCGTATACTTAGCGTTCACACGGTAAAAATATTCGAGGCTTATACGCGGCCTCCTAGTAAAGTACTGAAATACGAAGCTTGTTCGGCCCGGAAAGTCACAGGCACTTGGAACGTCTCAATAAAAAATAAAAAAGATAAATAAACACGAAATGTATTTACTACCAAAGTCTTAATGTTTCTCTACTCTATTGATATATTAATTAATGCCTGTTGTTGGGGGCACTATATGCTCTCATAGTGTTGCTGAGGGAAGGTATAGTCAGGGTTCATAGTAGTAAGACACATGTTGAAATAAGGACTTATAAGACCCTTTCTGG